ATAGTCAAAACGGATTCAGGGGACCTCAAAACGTAAAAATCCGTCGAAAACTCGAGGTCGAAAAAATCATGATTCCTATACTTTCCTTATATCTGTATACAGATAGGAAAGTAAAAAGGGGGTATCTTGTAGCTCAAATTGCAAATGCAAAATGAATTACATTAATATTTCGTCACCTAGAGGAAAATACAAATGAATCTGAAAATCCTGTTGATTATACATTTTTCGATAGTTTGTTTTAATTTTGTTTGTTTGTTAAAATTTGTATTTAACAATATACCACAATTATTTATTATTTTTGTAAAGTACTAGAAATTTTTGGAAGAAAATGAGCAAATTACGATTTATCTTCACTACATAGTTCAAATAACTAATGAAAAATTGTATTTAAAACATTACTGTGAGAGTATGTGTGCAACAAGAGGTATGTCGATCGCAATGGAAAAACCCGCAATCAATCCGGCCGTCGAGCCAGGCGCCCCCACCTTTAAAAGCCGCTAGTGCTTTATTTATTAAAAATAGACCGCGTATTAATCGAAACAAAATGCAGCTTTAAAAAAAAAAGTTAAATAGCTCTTTGCATAAGAAAGTTATGACAAGGTGGATTAAAAAAATATTGTCAATTTGTTAGTTTTTTTTTTAATATTACTATTTTTTAATATAGTTTACAACATTTTTATAAAAACAAATACATTAAAAAAAAAGAAATTAAATAAGGAATAAAACAAAACAAAAATTGTTGTTCTAACTTCTTTAGTAAAAAAGTTACGAGTGTTCAAAGTTAACAAAAAAAAAACGCTTTTTTTTTAGTCTCGACCAATGGAGAGAGTCGTCAATTTCCATTTTCAATGTAAAAAAGCATACTTTTTCAAATGGTGAAGGACTTATTTGGTTATGCCTCGGTTTTTTTTCTACGTCCTAGACCGGGCTTCCCGACGGACTATTTGGTACGTTTGTAAGAAATGTCATAATTAATTTTGCTGAAACAAAATCTATTATACATAAGTGGTTTAACATTTTTAAAAATAATAGATCACTAGCCCAAAAAAAAACAAAATATAGGCAATGATAATCTTTTACATGATACCATTGGTGTATGCAAGTTTGTTACTAGATCTCCCAAGTCATCTATCAGAAAAATAGCGTCACATTTTAATATGAGTAGATCCAAAGTTCATAGAATCTTACAAGCACTGAAACTGAAACCTTACAAAATTCAATTATACTAAAAATTATACGAGAGAGACAAAGAAAAACATCTATATGTGTGTGAGACGTTATTGGACTTGAAAAGAAACAATCCTGAGCTCCTTTTAATAATGTCTGATGAAGCAAGTTTCCATGTTAATGGAGCCGTCAATAGACAATTGTAGAATTTGGAGTGAAGAGATTCCACATGAATTTTATGAAAGTGTAAGAGACTCTCCTAAAGTGAATGTTTGGTGTGCTGTGAGTAAATAAAAGATTTACGGGCCATTTTATTGTCGAAAAAAACAGTTACCGGTCCAATTTATACGGACATGTTAGAAATATTTTTTTATCCGCAGATTGACCAGGATGGAGAATTACATGAATTCTATTTTCAACAAGATGAAGCACATCCCCATTATTCACTGATTGCTCGTCAATCAGTTTTTAATAAATTCGGTAATAATTGGATTGGTAGGACAGGACCAGTTAAATGGGCTCCAAATTCACCAGACCTAACAGTGCCAGATTTTTTTATTTGAGGATATGTTAAAGCTTTAGCTCATAGTCCTCCACCTTAAAATTTAGAAGAGCTAAAAGATAATATACGTCGGGCATTTGAAAGCACTACTTCCAACATGTTAGAAAAAGCATATACAAATTGATTAATACGTTCACACAATTGTGTTAATGTAAACCGAGGAGATACAGGGTGTTTCCGAACTTGGCGTCCAAATTTGTAGGGGTGGTAGTTCGCATAATTTGAGAGCGATTGGCCAATTTCATTTTTCTAAAAAAATTATAATAAACAAAATTATTATAAAAAAAATCAAAGAGCAGGTCCTACCCTGAGCGCGTAACGCAATAGTCCTCAAAAACAGATGCGATTTGCAGTTTTGTCGATTCTAAGCGTAGCGCGCGCGAGTCGAAGCGATCCTATCGCTGTGCAGGACCGGTTTATAATTTTTAATTAAATTTTAATTATTTTTATTTTAAATATTTTGGGAAAATGAAATCTGCGAATCGGTCTCAAATTATGCGAACTACCACCCCTACAAATTTGGACGCCAAGTTCAGAAACACCCTGTATAGAACATTTAAATTATTCTTAAATTGTTTAATTAAAGTTTGTTAAAAAATGTTAAATGAGTTAATTAGGCTATACTAGAATATCATTAATAAGCAATAATTATTGTTGACTATTGATTTTGAATACATTTTCACAAAAAATTATTGATGAGAATTATTGTTAATAATAAACAATAATAGACCTAGTTTTTTAATTTTCATATTTTTCCAAAAAGACTGCTTCTATCGGGAACCCACGTCGCGACATGGTTGTGACATGCCGGGTTGAACAATCTATGAAATGAGCAAGTACGCTTATGTCACATGAATTATCTAATCAAATATATAAATGAACTAGGATAAACATAAAAAATAATGTAGTTACTTTAAAATTATTTTAATAACTTGTTAAAAATAAATATTTAGGATAATAGTATAACAATTAATAGTAACAATTTAATCATCAAATCGATTTTACTATTAATATGGACATTACAAAAATTAATAGAAATTATGCATCTGACATATGAAAGTGGATTCATATTCACTACAGTTTAAAACCAACTACTCTAGCAAATACTACTGCTTATATAACTATAATTCTCTACTTTACTATTTTGTACTCAATGTTTATCATCTTTCGGACCCGATGATGGCTTTTATGCCAGAAACGGTTGTCTACATTTTTTCAATAAAATATTATTGTATGGCACGGTTTTTGTTTTTCCTTTCTCATACAAAGATGGCCACTTTTGAGGAGCAGAATAACCTTTATTTAGGATGATTTAAATTTGTCATTTTAGATGAACATTTTTCTTTTAAATAGCAAAAATCGTAATTAAGATTTTTTAAGTAAACGGTCCAAAAATTATTTACCCAAAAACGAATTGTCCAAAAATAATTTTTCCAAAATTAATTTGTCCAAAAATAATTTGTCTAAAAATAATTTGTCTAAAAATAATTTGTACAAAAATAATTTGTCTAAAAATAATTTGTCCAAACTAATTTGTCAAAAAATAATTTGTTGAAAAATAATTTGTCCAAAAATAATTTGTCTAAAATAATTTGTCCAAAAATAATTTGTCTAAAAATAATTTGTCCAAAATAATTTGTTGAAAAATAATTTGTCGAAAAATAATTTGTCCAAAAATTATTTGTCCAAAAATAATTTGTTCAAAATAATTTGTCGAAAAATAATTTGTCCAAAAATAATTTGTCCAAAAATAATTTGTATACTGAATAAATATAACAAGAACAATCAGGTAAATTAGGTATATAGTTATCTCGCCTATAAATATTTTGCAGCGCCCTCCCTAGAACGAATCATAAATCTGCCACTGAACTTTAATCCACTATTCCTTTTAAATAATTTTCGGATATCTTTTTTATTCTTCCTGTAAGTAGGCTTTATAATAAATGACTGTGTCGTCGGCAAAACTGACAGTACCTTGGAGTACATCAGTTTTTATCATTCTCTATTAAAAATGTGCAAGTAAAAAAATGGAATAATCGTGAATACTTTTCTCTTTGACAAATATATTTTTATTAATGACAAAATTACTGACAATTCTCAAACTAAGTCTAACAATAAGTATATGGGTAAGTATCAACTCTAACATTCTCTCTCCGCTAAATTCACCGGTAAATTTTTCTTTCTGCTGTTTGTTTTCAAGTTAACTTTTTAACAGGTTTAAAATAATATTGCATGATCTACGGAATCAAAGGCCTTAGCCAGATCCAGAAATACAGTTAAGGATGGCTTATTTGCATCTTTCAATTTATATCCTTTTTCTACAATTCTACAATTTTTATAAACATTGTATAATAATTAAAATTATCGGCATGTAATTTTTTAGCATTTTGTTATTGCCTTTTTTAAATATCTGTATTACTAATGATTTTTAAGTTCAATAAGAAATTCTCCTTTTATGTATTTGATTAGTAGTTTTTTAAAATGTTTGTTATTTTTGTTTAATAATTTCAGTGGTAATGTCTTCCTGGTGACATTTTAATTTTGATTGACTCATTGGTAATAAGACCATATTTATAATATTTTGTAAATTTCTGACAGGGAGATGCGTGTGTGGAATTTCTACTTTATCTGCAAGTGTCACACCTATTTCAGCAAAAATTATTGAATTCCTCTGTCAGTCATTTCATCATTATTACCTTTTATATTACCTTGTACAGAGATAACTTGTAGTTCTTTAATAACTTTCAAAAATCCTTTAGAGTTTTCTTTATTTTGTAATAACCATTTTGTATATGAATCTATTTTGGATTTCTTAATAAGCCTGTGGTACTATCTTATATTTTAAAAAATATGTTTCTTTTTTCTATATTTTTTTTTATAAATATTATGTAATCTTCTTCTTTTTTGTGCTTATGGGCTTAATCTATATTGTGTAATCGGTTTCTTTCTTTAATTGAATTAATAATACCCTTAGTTACCCACTATTTTCTATTTTTTTTTTCTTAGATGATATAACGAACAAGCTTCTAATTTTACTAAATTATCTTAATATTTGATTTTAAAACAAGAAAAAATTAGAAACGATAAAGTTGATTAACTCTGTTTAAACTAAAAACTAAATTTACATAAAAGTTTAATTTGAACAGGGAATTTGGTCACTGGCGATACGAGTATAGCCCAAAGATTTCGATAAAACATTTTGAGAACCGGCCGATTCACCGAAAATCTGTTGGCACCTCGACGACTCCCCCGTATCGGAGGGCTCGGGGCGGTGGACGTCTTCTCCGTCGGCCTATTCTTGGAGATGGTGGTGGGGCGTTTGGGAGGCCGAGGAGCGCCCGCTAAGGAGGCGCGTATCCGACGCATTGTAAACTGATAGCACCTCCACGATTGAAATTTCTAACGGGCAGCTTTAGTCGCTCCGAAACCGTGTGTCGTGTCAACGGGTAACTCGTACTTTCTTTTTTGAGTTTTTTTTCGGTAAGTTTTTCTTTTTTATATAGAACGAAATTTTCAATTAGGAAACGTTTTTTCATCAATGAAATAAAAAATAACCCAAAAATTAAAAAGGTAAAGAAGTCATTTATTAAATTAACAATAATTTAATCACCAATTTCCAAGAGCTTTACAACATATAATTAAACATCTTTTGACTTGAATTAGACAATTCGCTTTACGGGAATCATATAAACAACTATCACATTGACGAATATACAGGGTAGTCCAGTTTATATCGTCAGGATTTCACCACTTTGTCCAATAAACTATGATCCAATTTTGCTTTCTTTTTGATATAAATGGTTCAGGTATTCAGAAACAATATTTTAAGTTTTTCCTCGATAACAAACTAAGATACGAAAAAAAATTAATTAATTAAGAGTTGTATTTTTAGTTAGTCTATTTAAAAAAATATATTAAACATTCCAAAAACTATTTGAAGTATCCTATACTCGACTTCTGGTTTCGGCCCAAGGACCATCATCAGACCTAAAAGGAAAGAGGAACATAAGTAATACATATAGCTTAAAAATCCAACCCTTGAAATAAGCAGAAAACAATCCAATTTCACTGAACTTTGTTACATTTTTTTTTACTACTTCTAACCACATAGTTTTAATAAAATAAAGAAAATCCCTTATTCAGTTATTTTATTAGATATAATTTTACTCATATACTTAAATCAGAAAAGGCAATAATTTAAAAATAATTTCAATTATACATGGTGCTCCAGGAAAGCGGTACATATCGAAATTATGTTTTTTAAAAGGGACATCCTATATTTTATTGAATTTTTGAATTCTACAAAGAAAAATAGGGCAACTTTATTAAGGGTTTGTTATATTTATACCCGCTTCTTAAATCTATCAATAACTTTATTACACCAAACTGTCTGAACGACGTGAGCGTCAGATTATTTACGATCTAAACATTTGTCAAAATAAATCATGCTACTAAATTTTAATGAACGATCTTACAACCTATTGCTAGAGTTTGTCATCATTTTTGATATGCGTTTTCAAAAATATGGAATGCAAATATATCCTAAATTTGTTTAGTATTTTGATTTGATTTTTTTAAGGTAAATTTAGATTCTTCTGCGCCGTAAGTTAAAAAATAACTTACAGGGTGTTTGGAAAATAGATATTTATTATACGTAGCTTTAAACGCTTATTTTATTTTAAATAGAACACCCAGTATACTTTAACATTATTTGAAGTATCTTTTAAAACCACTTCAAACAAGGTAGGTATTCCCTATATCTATTTGTGATAATTCTTATAATTTATGGAAATAATTCATTAAATTTCGTTATCAAGATATCTCGCATTGGTTGTTAGTTTACATAATTTTAATTCAGTATATTTTGGGTGATGCAAAAATATTTTTTTTATTGCGATCTTTTTTTTTAAATACAAAAAGAGGGCATAGATAAAAAGTTAGTTAATTATTTCGTGAATTTAATTTTCTTCTTTTCTTAAAAATATTTTTTTAATAGAACCTCCTGATATCTCTATTGAGATTGTATATACTATTTTTTCTGGGCTCGTCTGGCCTGACTCCATAAATCAAAAAGTTACATACATCAAAATATCTTAATTCTTGTAACGTTTTTCATTTTAGGTTATGTCACATTTTTAAAAACGTATCATAGACCTAGAAAGGTACCTACTATAGATTATTTCTCATAAAAATTGCTAACACTGTATCTACAACCGACAACGTCTTTTCTATTTCTGTCCTCTAATCCGTTTAATAAAAGCAAACCATTTAAAAATGATCTATTTTAAAGCTAAAGAGCTCGGGTTGTTTCCAATATCAATTTAAAATCAACTAACTGCACTGCTCTGATGTCTGAGCGTGACGAATGACCTTTTATATTTGGAAATATCGGTAATGTGTCTAGAATTAACATGTACACTGCTTAAAGGTCAGTTACTAACCCTTTTCGTTTATTATTGATTGATTGATGATTAATTTTTATTTTTTTTTTTGTCTTAATTTGTACAAATATTAGTGTCAATTACACCACCTTATTTACTTAGTTTACTTCCTCCTTATTCCTTATACACATGTCGAGTGTAATTCACTCCTGCTAAATACCTGGTGGAGAAAATATCCACCAGTGGACACCACATCGCTGACAGGAAGGTGTAGTGGATTTTACACCGGGCAAAACGAAAGGTATAGTGTCCTTTGATGTAGTTCATTCCATATTTGTGTGTTGATTATTCCATTAATGGAAAGTAAAAATTATATTCCCGACCTGCTTAGGGGAGATCGACTATCGTGGACCCCCGTTTACATCTCACAGACCCCCGATTCTTTTTTTCGTTCACATAAACCTCCTAAGTCATCGTTGAAGTCGATATAGACCACTTTAGGTATCGGTCTAGTATAAAAATAAAAGCTATGGAATTTTTTCCATTGCCTTCCATTATTTGCTAGTTTTCTCAAATTTTCGACCTTATTGTCTTTCTTTATAGATCTTCTTCCATCTTCTACATATTTACCTTTATCTCGGCCTACCTGGGTTCCAATTCACTTCTGACATCCTGGCTTCGTTTTATTAATGTCCATTTTACCAATGTGTTCTTTCATTTGTGTCTTCTTTTCTTATATAATAAGTTTAATTACTTTTTCTCCAAAAAAAGGTCATACAGTTCTATAAATAATTCATATTATTGCACCAATTCTGGATTAAAAGATGCCCTTATCTGTATTCTTATCATACTTTGTGATAACACAGGCGAATTTTGAAACATTGAAAGCCTTTGTTTTCTTTTAGCCAAGCCAATTCAACTTTAATAAGTCTCAAATTCTTTGTTCATCGTATTTGAACACTACGAAATAAATTAAAGTTTATACCCTCATTGGTATACAATGAATAACCAAATAAAATACTCAAATCAAAGCTTGTTTTATACACAAATCGTATGGAAACAGAATCTTAATAAATAAGAATCCCCAGGTTTAGGGAAGTGTTTAAACAGCAACGTCGCTAATACCTCTCGAAAAAACGTAACTCAGTTACTGAGGCCCTTCCTATGGGGCCTCAGTATTGCATTCGTGCAGACGAAAAAATTTTCTTACCACATTTTTTAAAACTTTTTTTTCAAGTTTACGATCATTCTGAGTCCGAAATGCAAAAAAAAATTCGTCTGGTCGTCTGTATGTATGTATGCCGGCTCGATAACTCTAGAACGAAAGTTCTGATTGACTTGCGGTTTTGATTTTCTTAAATAATTACTTCTAACTTAGAACCCTATTAATTTTTAGAATTTTCGGTTCATCCTAACTACTTTAATATCAATTTTCTTAAAATCCTCTTATGCATTTCTTATGTGACAATTTTAGGAATTCCAATCATTTCTAACGTCTAACATTTCTAACTATGAAACTTTTCTAACATTCTTAACATTCCATAAATTGCAAACATTCTCTAACAACAGCTGTTGATAGTAAAGGTGAGATTTCTAAGGCGGGTTGTGACCTTCACACTTGCAACCATAGCCATTTTGGAGGCTATTTTTATTCGAAATTAATTGCCAAGCCTTCCAATTTATGAAAATTATATAAGCAGTTTCTTAAAAATTACTTTTTTATGGTGGTGCTAACTTAAGCGTACTACTATTTCGCCCCTAGCCACAAAAACACGTTCATCAAATTTACTGGCCCTCTGTCGCATCCCCATAGAATAATTAACTGGCTATTTTATTTGGCAAAAATCAGAATAATGCTTGGCTGTGCCTATCAAGTATCAAGATGTCAAATGTGATGTGTGTGTAAATGTCAAATTATTTAAAAATGTATGCTTCTTTTGATATTTATTGCAAATAATTTGTAGTGTATCTCAATTCATGCTTTCCATAAATAAAGGTACAGCAAGACAGATAATATAATGTTTTTATACAAAGCACTTTTTTATTATATAAAAGAGATGTAGGATATAATGCTGGTTTTTTTAGATAATTTTAATTATAGGCTTTTGGAGGGGTTGAAGTGCAATATCATATAGTCCACATTATACCATATCCCAAAATAGATTCAACTAGCGAATTGTAAATAATATAGTAAACTCCTAGTCATAAATTTCCTCATTTCATAAAATTTAAAAATGAATCTTGTTACCTTAGGATTTTAATGACGTAATGTGACCCATCAAATTTTGATCAATTATGATACCGAGGTATTTTGTTGTTTTTCATTTTAATTATAAAGTAGTCATTTATTTGTATGTTGAAAAAAGGCCTTTGTAAATTACATTGCTCTCTATATGGATCTACTTTAACACAAAAATAGTTTTGTGGCTATAAGTTGCTATAACCTAGCGTCACAAAACTATTAATAATTTAAACATAGTAAGTAGTATTAATATAACATCAAGTAATTTTTTAATATAAAGTACATGATCTCAAAACAGAAATAATTTATAATAAATGAGGGTAAAACGAAGGGTAAAATAATAATAAATTTAGGGAAATACTTAAAAAGGGCAGGTTTAAAGAGTATTATCACAAGAAAGTATATTCGTTTTGTTTATTTATCAAGTATTGTTTGAGGTTACTTTTGAATAAATTTATTGTTTTTTTTTTAATTTCTGTAGGCAGTCTATTAAATTTTTTAAACCTTTAATAAAAATTGTATTTTGGAAACTTTTAGTGATAGCTTGCCGTACATGAAAGTCAGATTGGCTTGTATTATAGTGATATTGCGAATTATATTGAATTTTTTCTAATAGATCTGATGCGATGGTACCATATGTTATTTTTATTTTATAAATAAATATCAGTCATGTACTGAACATAATTCTGAACTGAAAGCCAAACATTTTGCATGAGCAGGCTTGAGAGGTAAAGGGGCCAATTATTATTGGATAAATTACTCCAACAAGTTTTTATACCCTAATCAAAAGGCGATATAGAATGGTTTTAAAAATCAAGGCTTGTAAAAATCATCACATGGTTTAACCTAAAAGTAAT